AGAAACTCAAACTGGCATCACCATCCCACTCCAACCCTTCACAGCAGCAGAAGAGCCCATTGTGCCCAGTGAAATCCCACCTTGTTCAATTCAGACATCGCAAAACCATGTTTTTTCTCACTACAGAGCAAACAGCTTGTACCGCGGGTCTGTGCTTCCTTTGAGCTCGATGTGCTACATAGGTTCCTCATTTTCAAACTTTATGTGCTTATTTTCTCCCTGGCTGTGTCTATGGCAGTGGGTGGACTCAAATACATCATACATTTATTTAAAGTACAGCTTTAATTGTATTTTCAAAATGAGGACATTTTGTGATTTTATATTTTACATGAAACATTTAATTTTACTGAAAGTTAATTTGTATATAAAAATGCAAGTCTCTGAGTGCACCTAAATCCCAGTTCCTAGACAACACATGATTAATTTCACAAGGTGAAACTGTAACTGAGAAAATAAAGGAATAATTCTACTAAAAGATCACTCAGTTTCCATTTTTATGAGTAAAAAGCATTCAGGCTCAATGAAAAAAAAAGTCTTTCTGGTTTCTCAGTGGCACTGAAATGCAAGTAGACATAATAAATATGGTATATTTTCCTACCTACTGTACCTGTTACATTAATATCATTCATTGTCCCAGTTTCAACAGCCTGACTGCCCACTGTGTTTCTGCTAATAATAAACCCAAACACTGTATGGCTGACAATAACAAGGATTTCCTTTAAACTGTCTTCCACACAGTCTCCTCAGTCTGTCTACTAATGCAAAGTACAGTAAATTTTTACTTCAGCTCTCCATACCTTACATAGTTTACACTAATCTTTTTTAAGCCAGTCCCAGAGGCTTGATATCCGCAAGTTAGGAAAATTTGATACTCTTTTGTACATTCCAAGCTGTATATAACATATGCCAATTTAACAGTCTAGAAAAAAATGTTAACAATGAGCTTTTTTAAAAACACATTACAGTTTCTGTCAGCATATGTATCACACCAAATCATTTTGCTCTCTGAAAGTTAACTATTGCTGCTGTTGACAAAAAATAAAGATGAGTTTTCTTCATTTTGTAGAAAACATGCAGTTAAAAAGGTGAGATGTACCTCTGCTTTTCCTTTAATATACAAAGATTGTCCATATGGGAGGACAGCAGGTGTCTTAGGTGCAGTTTTCAGGTCAGATGTTGACTTTGCTATTCTGGAAGATGGACAAGATTATATGGGGTTTGGGCTGAAACCCAATCTCCTTGCTGCGTCTTGTATGCCACATGAGAAGAAGAACTCCGAGGGCCCACAGTGAGATTGACTGACCACTGCTTGTGACCGGAGACAATCTAACAAGATGTGCCTGGAAATAACTGGCTTCAGATGAAAGTCATCAGTCAGTGCTATGAAAAACTGGTTAAACCAGCCCGACTTTAGTATTTCTCTGTCAGGCAAGAATATCAACTTAAGATTTAATACTGTACTCTAAGGGAATCTTTTAAAATATTTGGAAATACAGGTACAGGTTCATACAAGCATTTCATTTGCTTAGTTTTGGGTGTTTAAATTGTATATAGTTACTGTGTAATCACTATGCAATTACATAGAAGTCTAAGCCAAGCAAGGATTTAAACAAGCAGCATACTTGCTATTTGGACACAAACCGCTTTTTCTATGGCTGGTTTTTATTGGGCAAAGGATAGAAGATATAAACAGATGACTGTTTATAAGAAAGTTTTAATAATACTAGCATTAAGGAATGCATTGAAGTGTAGCATATTAAATTGATTCTACAGTTTTCTCCTTTTCAAAAACCTATGCCAGAGTAAAGTCCCATAACATGTTCATGCATAGACATGAGCTGCTTCCTGTGGCTATTTGTTCAGGTTGCACAGTTCCAAAGAAAATCTGTGCTGTAATTTATCCTCAGTTAATTTATTATTGTGGATGCCTATCTCCGATACAAAGTTCAACATATTGCATTGATATTATGTGTAGTTAAATTAATTGGATGTGAAATTTTAGATTTGAATTTCCAAATAGCCTGCTTTCATTTACGTGTTTCTCTTGTTTGGTAACCACCACTATGTGTATGGCAATGTTCTCTAGTGTATATGTGGATTGTGGCCTGCACTCCATCATATAAAACAAGAACAAGTCTTCCTTTGAATCCTTACGCCTGATTTTCTTCCATAGCAATTCTCCTTCCTTCTCCCTTTGATAGATTCTGCCTATCAATGTGATAAAGACTGAGTGAGAAATTACAAATGTGGATTTCAAGGTGTCAGTTTTTCTTTCCTTTCGTTTATGTAGTTGACCACACATGGTGTTTAGTTTTCTAAAAACATAATGCTAATGGCAATTTAAATTAGTTTGGAGTCACTGTGCAGAGCTTGTGCTTTTTAAATATCCGTTATGCTGAGAAAGTAGTATGTGTAGAAAGATCTCCGGGGACCAGGAAGGTGACAATTTTTAAAACAATCAGCTGCTAAATTCCAGGATGATAGTCATCAAGAAAAATATACAAATTTTCCTATCATTTATAATAACTCCTGCTGCTACTGAGAAGTAGTCTAGTCGCTTTGCAGGTTAGTCTCTTCCTGATCACAAGGCGCTGTGATTCCAAAGCCTGCAGTGTAAATAACAATATTACACCTTATTTTATGAAGAACCTTTCATAAACAAAATCTCAATGCACAGCACACTAAAATTTAACTAAACAAAAAAATCAAACAAAGAACATCAATATACGATATTTTACAAAATCTTCAGGTATGGGAGTTGAAACAAATTTTAACATTTTTTTAATATTTATTAAAACCTGATATTCTGGAAATCATGGCTAAACTGCACTCTATGGTGTGGCAATGTGTGAACCCTTTGGTTATTTCCAGTTTTATGACTCTCCCAGCGTGCTTCTAAATGAAACCATAGAAACCCCTAATGAAAAATGGTTCTGTTGTAGCACTCTGTTTCTGCACCAATATGTTTCATGATTTATGCTCACGAAGGTTTCATCTTTACTGTTTTTTTTCCCCCAAACTATTTGTTCTCATTTTCCTGATGCTGTCATTTGATACCTGAGATGCCACTAAAGGCGTCTGGAACCTATATTTTTTGTGTGAGGAAATATATCTTGCATGGAATGAAATGCCAAACAAATGAAAACAGATGGTAAGGCCAGCCAAGCAACCCCATGGCCCTCCAAAACTGGGTGCAGACATTTGCAGTCACAGGCTGGGAGTTTGGGATTTGAAGCATTATGACTTAACGTTCTGGATATATTCTATTCAACATACAGTTGCTTGTTGTAGTTGCAGGTGCAGAAAACAAGCTCAGAACACTAAAAAGCTAAAAAACTAAAAAGTAAAGAATACCATGCAGTAAAGGACTTGAAACTGAACAATAAGGTACCAGTTTACAGGCAAGAAAATGTTTGCTGCACAAAATGTTTCATATACAAGTTGCATTCACCTATGCTGTATGGGAGTGTGAAGACAACCATCGTTATTCCTGAAAAGCACTTGATTTTAAATAATTTCTCATATGTTAAAAATCATATATGAAATTGCTCAACTCCAAAGAGTGCTCTGCAGCACAATTTACAATACAGTGGACACTAGTGGAATGATAGCTAGAATAGGTGTTCTCTCCACAGACCAGATCTTTGGTGTCTCTTACAGCCAGTGTTCATCAGAGGAATAAGGCCTTCCAGCACAGAACTCACTCACAACAAAGGTATTAAAACAGGCAGGCAGACACTGAACTGCCAGCTGAGCCATTCAGCTCCTTGACACACAGCAAGCTCTTCCTGAAGGCATTCATTAGACTGCCTCAGCAATATGTATACAGTATAGTACAGTCCCAGATCTACAGTAGGTTATACATGCTTTACAATATACTGTACTTTAAAATCTGATTCTATTTTGAATTACCATCATTTAGCTCGACTTGTCCTCTTCCTAAACTATGCAAAACATTCCAGTTCATAGCTTTTCATAGTACACTTACAATGAGAGGATAAAACTAGTCTTATTGCATATTAAATACAGGAAAATACCAGTCAAAATAAATTGTTATAATTGTATGGATCATACTTGTAACTTGATGTGTATTTATTTGAAACAGATATTTGTAACAAATTATATATTGCATATATGTGTTATGCAATTTCAAAACTACAGAACTAAATACATATTGACAAACAATCACTTGAAAAACGATTATTTAGCACTGTTACTGCAGCTTATATGTACAAGTTATTTTCTAAGCTTCCAAGCTTCCAGTTCAATTATGAACTGTAATTGTTTTTTCCACAAAATAAGTCATTTTAAAAGCTCAAAATTGAAGATGAGTTTTACAAGTAAAGAAACATCACAGATGTATGATATTCCTCTAAGAATTCCAAGCAAACAGGTACAATCATGATTTTAACCATAACTGGAAATACAATTTGTAAAAGCACAAATAGGACTTTGAACATCTGTGAATAATAGATTTTTGTCCAACAATCAATAAAAGAGAGCAGCATGTGGCTCTATACATCACAAACCTATAGCAGCTCATCAGGGGCACCACAGCCGTTAACGAACTGACACGCCGTGACAAGACCAACAAAACACTCAGTGGGCAGCCACCATGTGCTACTCTATACCGAGATGCATTTAAATCACAACGTGTTTATTACAACCAATAGCATTCTGTTGCGTTTTAATTCCTCCAAGTACATACTTTGAAAGTTCACAGGGAAAGCTGTTTTATATTGACAAACCTGTGCAGTTTAAAACATCAAGTGAATTGTTTCCAGCCTTGTGAATTGGGCAAATGAATGGCAGCTAATTCAAAATCCCCTTAAAAAAAAACAAGCTGTAATATAAACCAAAGGAAGAGACCCAAGTACTAAATTACACCGTGTAAATGAACGAATTACAGTATAACCATTCTCAAGAATAGTAATGCAAAAACAGCCAATGACAACACAACACACTCCTGTTTCCTGGAGTCACCAGGATCAGGGAATTACCTGTATCCCAGGTGCTGTGGGCTTGTGGGCAGGTGTCCCGCTTCCGCCAACACAATCCTCCAAACAGCGCATCTGTCAGGAACCACCCTCTGCTGAAGACTTGACAATGATCACCAGGACCTGGGCAAATTCACACACAGCAGACATCATCACATTTCTGATCTTGACAAGTCACATGATTGTAGGCTTCATCGTCTAGCACATCCCTAGTGTTGCATGGTTGGCAAGGAGAGCAAGCAGTTATAACTTCCTTTACGGGGGAGGTTACACAGATATTCTAGAAAACAACAACAACCTCCCCTTATTTCTAGGCGAATAGTACAAAATCATGTCTCTCTTGTGAAACACACAGTTACAGGATTTCATTACATCTCTGAAGAATAATATTACCATTTGCCAAACCTAGACAAAGGTGGGATAATACAGGTTTTTAACCAGAACAGGACAAGTTCCAGGTATTAACAAATGAAAATTAAAAACAGATAATGGCATGTTCTGACATTACCCAGAGATGTGTCACTAATTCTTCTAAGAAACAGGCCAACCCCAGTCCTAAATTTGCTGACACAAAGAAACCCCAGCACTGCCTTGGCTCCATTTTATACCCCAGTCTCCAGGTGAGCCCAATCTACTGCTCCTCCTAGCTGTGCAGGGTCACTTTTAAAGCTGCACTTCGCAAAATCGCATTGCCACATCAGTTATAACATATTGTCTCTTAAATATCATCACAGTATGCAACAACGTAGAATAGAATTATTTTTTAATTACTATGCTTATTGTGCAGCCCTGTCCCCCGTTCAGCCTACAGTGGTACCTTCTCATAAGGACACAGAGCTGAGTTAAAATGGCTGGTAGCACATCCTGCCCACAGTAAGATCGTTGCACCTTTATTCCTGATTCAGATAAATATCTTTGCCCACTTTACTTTTAATTCAGCGCTCATTTTCTCCAACTATAGCCAATGGACCATCAAACAATATAAAGTGCACCACTATGTTGTGATGGTAAGACTGAACCAACAGACCGTACAACATTTTTTTTCTCTTTTCAGATTTCACACAAAAAAAGAGAAAGCTGTCCAACATCTCCTAAATAAGTGGGTAAGTTAAGTTTCTTGTAACGTTTTTGAGTAATTATTCAATTTGACTGCAAAGCAGAAGTGACATCTTTTACAATTTTAATATGAGACTCCCTTCCCTTATATATACAGTATATGTCTCCATATATCTCATTCACATCCATATTGTGGTGGCGATTCTGATTATTACTTGCTTTGCATCAATATGGATTGATATCACAATATTCACTATATTTGCATTACTTCAGTCAAAGTAAATAAAAATCATATTTTATATAAAAATGACTCAAAAATTTGATTTGCAGATGAATGAATTAGGACAGCACAGACTGAAAGTGTCCAAGGACACTGGTGAGAACTGTTCAGAATCTAGAATCCACCCGCTTCCTCAGCAGAGGTAAAGACATTGGAAGTCGGGGAACTCGCCAGTATTTTATTGCAAACGTGGACTGACCTGTCTGTCCACAGCTGGTAGTTGTTAGTCTGCTTTGACTTGAAGCTCATAGTGTAGTGATGTTCATTTAGCCCTGAGCAAGTGGATTGGATTTGTCTTGTGCAGTAAAGAGGAAACAGACTCCTTCAAGGGGGCTTGTCTCTCTGGCTCTAATGCTGAACATGCCCACGGCGAGCCTGGGGCAAGAGCCTGGGGCAGCAGTATGGAGCATTGATTCACACTCCGGACTCAAGAGCAAAGGGCTGTGGGTTTGAATCCTGGCTGGTATCTGCTGTCGTGCCCTTGGGCAAAGTGCGTCAGTCAGACTGTTTTCACTCATGTACCATGCAGTACATATGGGCACTCCCCCAGGGCACCATGGTCATGGGAGGACACATTCTTAATTAACGATTAAAAATGAAATGAAAAAAGGAAACGTTCAGGAATATTTTCCACTGTGTCTCTGCGATTAGAAAAGGGTCCCCATTGCTTCTGTGCCTTTAAGCGTATGCTCTCCACAGAAGAGGCTGTTTCACGGTGGTACTGTATGTAAAATATGGATTTCCCTTCTCCATCCCTTTGTTTCCATCTGCCCGGTCACAGACCACACAGCAGTTGCAGTTTCCTGTTTGGTTTTTAATTCAGGATATGCGATTCTTTCTCAGTTAAGAACATTGCACCCTTGAACCCTTTCAAAGAGCACAAGTTTCGTACTGTACATGAGCTGCAGCTGCTGAGGAGGGGATTGGACTTCCACAGCCTGAACGACCGATCAAACAGAGCAGCATCATCTCCTCTTGAAACCAGCCCTCTCCCCTCATCCCTCCCCTCTTCCTCCTTCCCCCCTCTCCACTTTTTGCTTTTCTCTCCCCCCCTTCTTTTCTTTCTTTCATTTAATATAAATAATCAACAATTAGCAAATCCACATTTATTACACAGCGTCTACCCAGATCTGTAAAGAAGATTATAGTACGTGAAGCAAGGGATTTAAAAACTGCCTTTACCTTATGGAACAAGTTGTACACTTTATAAAATATTTGATTGGTTTTTATTTCAGGCACCTGTGGTTTTTGTATGTTGATGGCGGATCATACATTTCATTTTGTGTTCCGTCTTTTGTGCTCATTTGCTTAATTTGTGTGTTATACATTTGGGTTGTTGTGGGCATCTGAATGTCAACAGACACAAACTGAGGGATTGAAAAACATGAAACCCATAGATAGTGGGGGGCCTTGATCAACTTTAAGAAACCATTTATTTGCATCTTCTGTAATCCTTTGGACATATAGTATATCCATCTTAAACCTTTGCTGGCGAAGAGCAAAAGAGAGTCCTAGGGGGCACAGGTGTTTAAAAATGAAGATACTGCACTTTAGTTCACAGGGTGCACCTTTGATTAATGGATCCCACAGTTCAGAGAACTTCTGGTAACAGTTTGGAACGTCATTACATCTTCTCTACCACTCAAAACGAAGGAGACTTTGGAAAAAGGTCATGTCATTTGTCTTTCTTCCAGCTACCGTGGGTTAAAAGTCATGTGTAAGCATTTAGATTTGATTTATTGAGGTGAAATATGAGTGTTTTGTCCAAAGTCTGGGTGTCCTTCCTTGAGTCTGACATAAAGTACTGTAGCTGTAAAGATGGATAAGAGGTGTTGAATGCATAAATTATTTTTAGTGATTTTTCTTTAAAGAAAAGAACTGCATTTTGCACTGTGCTTTTTTAACTTTACAGCTGGGGCCACCAGAGCTCTAAATAAGCTTTTGATGCAGAAGATCTGTCAGTTTCAGAAGAACACTGGTGGCTGGCTGTGTAGAATAACCATCTTTGTTTGATGCAGTGTTTATTCCCAGACTAATGCTGGGTAGCACACATTATTCAGTGAAATATTGCACAATAGTGGGGATAAATATTTGTAGTTTCAATAGAAAGAACACTCAAAACAGTTTCTGTGCAATACACTGCCAATGTTGGATATACAATGTCTGTGAAAATTATAATTGAAAACATTGTGCTAGACAATCACAAAAATGTCCCGTTACTTTCTTGGTCTTCATAAATTAATAGCCCATGCTTAAATTAATAATGGTTTAGCCACATTTTTCAGAAAAGGTAAACTGGAGTACTGCCAAATACGTTGAAGAAGGTGATGGTTTTTCTTTCATCGGGTTTCTCCTGTGTCCTCGAGAGAAAGAGAGTACGCCCTGCATCCAGACTGCTAGGGCGAATTGCCAAAAGTGCATCGTCGTGGTGGGATCACGGAGATGTGGGATTTGTGCCTGTCCTTGTCTGGTCAGGGCTCCTCTGCAGTGCAGGGCCTGGGAGGCGACTGCCCGGTCACGTCAGCAGGCGACTCACAGCTCATAAGGGGACAGCTCAACAGCTGACTGAGGCTGACAAAGCCATCTGGGATGTTTTGCATTTTCAATTATTAAAGAAGGGACAACTTTAGAAGCTGGGTCTGTCTGACACATCAGAACTTTGAAAGTTTCTTTCAGCAGTACACATTGAAATGTGCAGACAGAGCAACACCCTTCTCCAGCGCCTGTCTATGCAACAGGGACTAATTGCTTGACGATAAAGTTAACCACAATTTATTATACGAGTTCTTTTGACTTTAACATAGAAAGATAAAATGGAAGATTGTATGCGGGCTATAACTGATAAGTCTGCATTCCTTTAAGTCTATGCTCATGTCCGCTGTCCATCCAGAACAATTTATGGTACGTCTGTTACGTCCCCAATATGGCTCAGTCTAGGTGCGAAAGGGAGACTAACATATGAGCCAGTGATTAAACAGACGGAAATACACGAACACAAAAACAAACACTACACTTTCCTACGACCCGATACCCTCTAAACCTCTCTCCCGAGAAAAAGGGGGTGGCAAAGCCAAAGAAAAGTTTTCCACAAGCTAACTTATGACACTAAACTAAGCTGTAACGGAAAACAAAACAAAACAAAAAAATACCACACAAGAGCCACAACAATTCCGATCCCCACCACAGCCAAATAAACAAACACGACAAATCTCGCGTTTACCAAAAACTACAAACCAAGTCTCACCAAAATTCGCCGTAGTTTCTCCCACACCTCTCTTCTAACTTTCTCCGGACGGCCCGTCACGGCATTTTAAAACCGGACCGCTCTCTTCAACCAACCCACAGAGGGAGCCAATGTAGGGACACACCCACCTCCAAAAATGGACCCCCGCACGGGAGGGGAGAAAAAAAAACTGACTGTAGCAATGTCTTTGTCCGAAGACTTGCAAAGAAGAAAATACTCGCATTTATTCAGTAATTGTTGCTTCCAATACAAGCTACTGTACTCGGAAGTGTGACTTTTGTGAAACGTGCAGTTTTATACTCTACATCTCCAGCTGACGACCCTCAGAATGACAAGCCTGTCAGTTTCAAGCAGAATGTTATACAATCCTATTTTAATTCTTTACTTACAGTATACATCCTAATGTATTTGTGCACTGTGCTGTTCTGTACTCCATTAACCTCAAAAGTATACCGTAGCACCACGCAGGGCGCTTTAGCAGGGCTGAGAACAGCGCCTGGGGGCGGGACTACGGGACTGTATATAGGGCGGAGGCTGGGAGACACTCTCTTCCCTTCGTGTCTGTGTGGTAGTGAAGGTGCGGCGCTGTAACCCCTGTCCCTGTGTGTGTGTAGAGAGCATTAAATATATCGTAAGAAGGTTATAAGTGAGTCGAGGTCATTTGGCCTATCCAGTCTGTTTGATAGTAGCTTATCGACATCACATTCGGCCAGACCTCAAAGATATTCAGGATATCCGCTTCAACAACATGGCTGGGTGGATTGTTCCATATTCCCAAAACCCTTCGGGCAAAGACGTGCCTCATGATCTCAGTTTAAAATGGACTTTCACATAGTTTCCACCCGTATGCTTTACCCAGACGCGTTCTTGTAGCCTGTGTCCTGGTATCTGTCAGGAAACAGCTGGATGAGATCCCTGGATCAAATAACTACCAAATGAGTCAGATGGGACAAAAGCCCTCCTGTCACCTATAACCTTTCTTCTGTTCTTAACAGGAACTCCTAAGCTTTTTCCTTTTCATGTCAGGTAAATGACCAAGTTCAAACAGACTGTATAATTTATATACTAAATCCACTGCGTTCCTTTATAACGTGATAAAACCAGTGTTCAATCTTTAATGCTTTTCACAGAGAAAAAGAACAGGAGAATTAATTCTCAGATGGTCCTCAGGATTGGCAGACTGAAGGCCGATCCAGATGGGATCTGCTCTAAAACTTTACAGCATGAAGAACAGATGTCTGATGTCCTGCTGCTCTATTCTTCTGTGCAAGAGGTTACTTCACTCTTCTGCTGTTCAGTTTTCAGAACGTACTATGTGAAGAGTTTCTGCTGACTTTTACATATTTGTTTTTAAGATTGGCATAAATTTAAAACTGAATACATTTGGGATATTTATCCAACTTTAAGTATTGGAAAAAAATCAATTAAAAAAGTGTTATAGTATGTTGTATGCTGGGTAACATTTTGGAAGTGGATGAAAACAATACTTGTTAGGACTTCCGGCTGCCTCAATTAATTTTAACAAGCTTGTGGTGACACTTCTAGCCCTGTTTCATTCCTCAAGTCATTGCATTTGCAATTCTGTCTGTGAACTCTTGGTCCTGAATGCTTTCTTCAGACTGCCGGTTCACAATGCATAGCGGGAGGAGAGAGAAGCCAAATGAAAGGGTCAATAACCCAAATCCTTGAAAACATTCTGTTGCACATGAAGTACGGCAGACTCATGAAACATTATTTTCTTAGAGAAATAGAATACCTTATTGAAAAAACAGATTTGTACTGTACTGTTTGTCCAACATGTTTGTACAGAATTCATTACACACCCACACACAAACACTTTGTCAGCCTAAGACTATAATGCAGCCACAGCAGCAAATCTTACCACAAGGACGGTGCTTGAATTGGGATGAAATACCTCAACTCTCATCCTTATAAAACATCTCCAGGCATAAGAAAGACTTTAAAAAACTCAATCATGGTTTGAGCAGAATACGAAACTGCCACATAACAGGCTTTCAAAGGTTTACAAGCTTAATGTGTCATTATTCCTCTTCAACAGGATCTGCAAAATAACCTCCTGATTGATTTAATCTCCTCTAATCTACACTTTTACACTCTTCTGTCCTGTGAAACATTATTTTGCCACCCAGAGCTGATTTGTTTTTTTTCTCTCTTACTTTAAATACCCATCTTCAAACACTGAGATACTTAACTTGCTTTCATGGATTTTGGTTAGTTGTGGGTAGATCAAACTTTAAACATGCACATGCAAATTTCAAAATTGTGATGTATAAACTCTCAGTTCTGAAAGAAATGCTCTGAATTCGATCGGTCATCTAAAACATTTAGCAGTGCGAGTGCCCTGTGTTGCTTCAGTCGCTATAGCATGTCTTGTCACAAACTGCACCAATCCCCAGTCAGGGTACACATTAATAAAGTGTGCTTTCCAGGTCCAGCCATGATGGCTGAACACTCTCAACCCCCAGAGGAGAAGAAAGGTACCTTGTGAAAGTTTCAATGCTTTTTTCGGTTGCTACTCAGATATTACATAGTAAATAGACAGATACTTTCTTGATCCTGTGAGGGAAATTGCAGATCAATCAGTTAAACCATACACATGCTTTAATGAATTGAATTTGTGTTCTTTACATGCAGGATTTTAAACAAATGGCTGATAAATAATGACAATCTTCCAGTCACAGGGACAGCTGTTTCTTGTTTGCTTAGAATAACAAAGGAAACTGCAAACACAAACAAACATGCTGGCTGCTCAGAAAGCAAGATGGTAGGACTTCCATTACCGAGCTCTCCCTTTTGCTTAACGGGTGTTTCTGTGTGTATCCCGACTGCTGATGGCATTATACACAACCATCCTGGGTTACTTACAGTTCAGAAACCAAAAGGAAATGAAGCACTTTGCGATGGATTGTACCAGGCTCTGTTTCCTTGTGGTAACTGTTAGCCTTCACACCTTGCAGTTGTCACTGGAAAAAATCTGATACAGCAGCAAAGAAGATGAAAAGAAAAAAGTATTGAGTTGGAAACTTGAATGTCTGTGTCACTGAAATACCAACTGTGTACATTTTATTTCTTGCGAAACTTTACAAGAACATGCTTTAGTGCAGCAAAGATAGTGTTGAAGCAAAGTTTATATATGCCTATCATGCAGAGCATAGCCTATTCATTTGCTTTGCTTAATGTTAGTTTATATTTGTCTGAAATTGCAGTCCGTGATTGAACAACTTCCAAACATGAAATGCACAACTCATGCCATGTGATAATGACAGTAAGGTAAAATCAATCACTCTGCAGGATGTCATATAGTTCAGCCTGCATGCGTGGGACTGAAGCAAACTGTACAGTGTGTGTGCAAGGTTTGCAAACTTTGTGCCAAAAGTATTTTGGAAGCTCTGATGATTTCGACACAAATAAGAGGGACATAATTTCTAACCAGGGCATCTGATGCCTTTAACTTGGTCAACACAGTGTCTCTGAAGAGGTCTTACTGTGATTTTTCTTTGTGCTGAAAAGAAAACCTGTTGCTGAAAGAACACGTGGCTGAACAGGCAAGCAACAGCTGGGGAAATGTTAGGTTAAAACTAAGCTCAGAATGAAAGAACTCTGGAATCATTTTTATATTTTAGAGTAGGAAGCTGTGTTAGCTTGCACAGGCTCCAAAGGAACAGGCTGAGAGGGATGAAAAGAAGCCTTCTTCAGGTGTGAGGGAGAGAGAGAGAAAGCAGAACATAAATAAGGCACAGGAGAACAAAAGGCAGAGAAGTTTGAATTTGAATATTTGAATTTTGCCAGGGATCACAATCAAGATGTAGAAAAGGTGCTGGCATGAGGAGAGACAGCCTGGTGCTGGTAAAGTGGTCCAGAGCTGTTGCAGGTTTCACAATCCTGGCTCCAGAATTCTGATGTCTGAAAGGCCATCGGTGCTGCTGGCCTGTGGCTCCAGAATCCCTGCTGTGCATAAACAGATTTTAGTTGAGATTTTTAAAGATTCTGATTGTGGTGTTGTAAATATAACATTATACAGTCTATGATGCAGTTTTTTATTTATACAGTGTAGATCATCATTGGCGGGTTCATTTAAAACTCTTGTAAATTTTAGAATCTCACCATGTGTTCTTCTGTTTAAGACCCTAAATTGTGTAATAAATAATGATGGTTAAGGTTCTTCCCTTTCCTTGAGTGAAAATGATTTTCCTCTTTATAATGGTCTGTAGCAGAATGGGTCACATCTGTGGATCTTCCACACTGTTTGTGACACGCAAGGCTCTGTCAGTGCCCTGCAATCAGAGAACCAATTTATACCATCTGCAATGATCCTCTGTAGATAAAACACAGTTTACTGTACCAAACTGCTAAGGGACATGTCTTCCTTCCTCTAACATGTTTTCTTGAAGTATTGTTTTGTGATTGTTTGGCACAGTAAGCAAAGTAGAAATGCAGAACACAAGCCATCAGTCCAAACTGCGGGAGGAGAAGGAAGGGATTCAGTGGCAGAGCTCCCTCATGCAGTTGGAATAAAAGTTAAAGCTTTGAAACTCTGAATTAGTCTGAGCCGACAGGTCCAGCTGTATGATTTAGTGTGGTACAGAGAAAGGTGATGTGAGGGAAATTAAAGAAAGAACCTGGAGAAGGGTGTCTGCGGTCCACTACCAACACTGAACCTCAGGGGCTCAGCGGTCAGTTCAGGCCCTGAAAGTCTGGGAACAGCAGGAGCAGAGACGCGATGTGGCTGCAACATGCCAGCTGGTTTCTCACACTCTGAATGTGAAGAAGTCTCTGTTGTATACGATGGACATCACAGACAGCCATTCTGTCCCTGCTAGAGTACCCAGTGAGTGCACCTGTATTAGCACTTTAACATTCAAAACCAAAATAATTTAACACAACCTACTGCATATACTGTACACAGTGAATACAGAAATTATGAGAAAACATGCATGTGATAAACTACTCATTATAGACAAAATGTAAAACTTTACACCTAAGATATTTTATTTATTATTTTATTATTTCATGACATTTACAATAAAATGTTGAAGCAATCAGTTTTTAATTTATTGTCTGAAACAAAGTTAATGATATTAAAACTAAAGAAGTTAGTGATTACGGACCTTTTAGTCAAACATTTCATACTGTATCTCTTGATCTCTTGGGAAATGAATAAAACTGTTATACTGAAATTAAATTAATGTTCAGTAATATTGTGAGCTATTGGATAACTATTAAAGTCCGGAGTTGAAACATTTTTGTTGTTTATGTTATGTTTGGCACGCTAACACCAGTTTGTTCACAAATGGGGGGAAAAAGTACAGAATTATTTAATAGTTTTGAACAGTTTATACAGTAACTGTAAATATAACTGAAGTCTATTATTTCCTTATCTAAAAGCTCCTGGCCTTCAAATAGGCTGAGACAAAAATCTAATAATGAAACAGAAGTCAAGGTAGTCTCATCAAATTGCTTCTCATCCCAGACTCATCACACAATTCAGCAAAATCAGCAATCCTGGCCCACATGGAGTGGAGCTGATTAATTGCAGAGACTCAATTACCCTTTAACGCAGATGGTGGCATTAGACTGAAGGCTGATAGAAAACTACAGTGCTGTGCTTATTCGTGTTGGAAACGCCAGAACACAAAGGATTTCAGTATCCTTGTGCCCTTCACGTATCCTTCTCACAGAAGCAAAATGACTGGTCACCATAAAGCACGATTCCAGCGCTTGGAAACAGATATCAGCTGGTTGTTTCCCTGCGTTACACACGTCAGGGCTGTGTCAAGGAAAGGTTTAATTCCAGTGCGTGATGATACAGTCCAGACAGTGACAATCAAGATAGACATTATTTCTGTTCCATTTACAAATAATAAAGCAGACAGAAGCATGATGACAGGCCTGAAAAGAATGATCAGATGAAGCACAGAGGAAATATTCACATCAGTATGACCTCTCTCGAAAAGGGCACTTTAAGATTTCTTTGCTTGCTCTTTACTCAGCACTAGATGCAGGTCCCTCATTAGCTCACTGGAGACCTTTCCTACTGAACAAATGGCACATTTTTCAATTCTGTTAATTTTCCAATGTAAAAACATGTTTGTTGGCTGCAGCAAAGACCCATGTGTGCTTTGTCCAGTAGATAATTAGCTCACATACATATGTATGTACTTATGGAGGTAAGATTGGTCCAGCTTTTCTTACATTAGTTGAGGTTTCAGTGATCAAGATTAAAAGGTTTAAAAAAGAGTTATTTCATTTCATCTGACAGCAGTTTTCAAGGGACTGGGTATACAAAAATACGTGTTGGAGTTTAATCTGCAGCCTTTTTGCTAGCATGTAAAAAGAGCAGTAAACCCTGTTAAAGGACTTCGAATATGACCAACAAAACCGGATAAGCAGAAATTGTATCCCTAAAAACAGAAATACTGGACTTTGAATGAATGAATAAAAAAAAGGTTAAAATCAATACTAAATAGTTTTAAAATTCAGGAATTTTAAAATTTGTGGTGCCCTATAGGGGTAGGTCAGTGTCTTTTGGGTGTTAAACTATACAGTTTTCATGACACATGAAATGTGAGCGTGTTTATTTATAATAAAAAGGTATAGAAACAGCTTTGTTAAGATCCAGAAAGCATAGACAGTATACATAATATATATATATTTTTATAATAGGGTATTTTTGGAGTGAAAACATTTGTGATATAATAGGCTGCCAAAAAAGGGCACCCCTTTTCCCCTGTTAGTCCACTAAATTGGGTGTTTATTTTAATATTTAAATAAAGAATGAAATACTGTTAGTGTTTTAGATGAGGTTTTAACATTGCAAGGCACACCTGCCTACTGGGCATAGGACAAACTGTTGAACTGTATACTGATTTTAAAGAACTGCAATAAATTACCATATAATGAATAATTTGCCATGAGATCATTACTAAAACAACATATTTAGGGAAAGGCCTGTGTGCATGAAGAAAAACAATTGCAGCAGTTCAAATATCCCATTTTCAGATGCTAATGATTATAGCGATGGAGGCATTTTTAAGATGGATGTAGTGTCTGGCTCTTCTACAAGAAGAAAAAACAACGTTAAGACTGTAATGTTTAATAGTTATTACTCGATGTGATTATATTATATGGGTGCTATGCAACATTGTGATGGTACAGTATATATAAGAAACACATTCAACTCACCCCATTACTGTAGCTCTCCACTCTGCACTGAAGCTAACAAGTTGAGCACGTGGCCTGGGATCACTGTAATGTGGTTTTGAGTAACAGTTTCCATAAAAAAAGTACAAAACCAAAGGACAGCCCTTTGTTCAGGGGTGAGAATGGTGTGACTCTTCCCGTTGGGGCAGTATTTTACTTTTTTAGGATTTAGATACTGTTGAAATAGACACCACATCCTCAGGAACTTGAGTGAAATGTTACAAGAGGACTAAACAACTCCAAAGAGTCCTTCTAGTGTAGATTTAATTTCCTTTATCCTTACATTTATAAGAACAGGCCTGGTCAGATTCAGATTCAGATTTCAGGTTATAAATTCTTGATAACTGGAAACCTGCAACACTTTCTTCAAGAGATTTGATGGTGAACCCTTTGGTTTAGATTTTTCCTGTTTTTTTTTTGTTATTTTCAGCTACATTTTCTGTTCCGTTTTTCCCCCAAAATGGATAACATACAATTCACACAGAAATATATGCAAATGTTTGTTTCCCTTTCTGTGTTTCACATGTACAGCAGAGAAGCAAAGCTGCACTGCTCCCCGAATCTTTGAACAACCCAAAATACACAAACATGGTTCAAAATGAGTTTACTGTACATCTGACCTGTTTTACACTGGCTTTTTAACCACGGGTAAGTTATCTGACTAACAAAGGCCCCATACAATACAGAAAAACATGAACACATCTTGCCAGAGACTTAAATATCTACATCTTGATTGTCTAGCTTTGTCTGAAGACATGACTCACTTCCAGGTTTGGCCTGCAGGGGTCGCTGTGCACAATCCTCGGGACATGGCAGGGAATTGTCCTTGGCCAGAAGCTCAGACAAAGCAGTCCATGTACTGCAAACGCAGTGCTTTGGAATGCAATCAACCATGCAAATAAATGAAGCAACAGATAACGAGGTCAGAGAAGTCATGCAAAGCAGTCTTGTGGTATCTTCCAAAGTTTGTTCTTTGAGTAGATTTAAGAAGAGTCCAGAGGTGTAAGAAGCTACTCTTCCAGATGTCCTCTGTAGTCCTGCTTCCTGTTTGGGCTACAGAGTATCATGTCCTTTCCTTTGAGTTTTGTAAAACTAGTTGCAAGCACTTAGACAGCGTTGTGTCCTCATTGTGTTGCTTAGCAGTATATGGCTTCCTGTTACTAGTTTGGCAGTGAAGAATGACCAAAGACTAGGAGGTTCCAAGGGGGTGTTAAAAGTTTCATTAGCAACAACAAAGCAAAAAGACAGATTCACTCAACACAGGGGATCTGAGAGAAGAAAAGTGCTCTATCCCACAACACAGCTCCCTTTAATAGTCATCATAGGTGTTGAGATCTGTGAAATAGGCATTAGTGTAAGTCTTCCCAGCAAGGTGAGGCTGGAAATATTTGTTTCTTTCCTCCAAGATAAGGTTATTTTTATTGAAAGCCTGAAAATAAAAAAGAGACATTAGTGTCAGAAATATGTGACAGATGCATCAGGTGAATACAACATTGATTTCCTCAACCACACAGAGTGTAATAGTATCAACACTGTGATTATGACTTGTCTTACAAATCACTTGGAGATATGAGGTGATTTCCTCTAAAGCCCAAAGCACAGCATTCTCTTTCAAACAGGTGTCCAGATTATTGCTGTTCATCATAATTACATATGTATTACTTTGGTATTTTGTATTCTGTGCATTAGTGCCTTAAATTCAATTCATTCTTAATTGTTGGGGTCAGATGGAGCACCTGGGTTGCACTGGGTCCTCTAGTCCAGAGGTGTCAAACTCACTTACTGTGGCAGACAAATTGATTTAAATGCAGTTCATGTGGCCATACATCCTATACATTATTACAGTTCTAGGCACAACTATTGTATTAATTTGTGGCATTCAATTTCATGTTTTTAAAATGTAATTTTTGTCAATGTGTTTTCATGAGATGCCAGTTTAGCAAAATGTCCTCATTACCCTCTGAGTATAGAGTTTTTTTTTAGCGTAAAGTGTCATAGGTGCTACATAAATGTCTGTTGTTTTGAAAAGAATGTTGTTCTTTTACTGGTGAAAATAAATGAATAACTTTCCGCACTGACACTTCAATTTAGGAACACTCAATTTATATGCATTTTTGCTACAATGAAGCATGTGTTTTAATACAGTAACTGTTTTGTCACTGTTCAAAGCCATTTTCACTAGAACAAAGTAAAGGTGATTCACCGCTATTTATAGCTTTATAGCTATTTCACTTGTGATCTTCCTTATGTGGCCCAAGATCTGCAAATACCACACGTGAAATACAGAAATAGTGGAGAGGCCACTTTTTGTTTTTATGCTTCTAAATTATGGAACTCATTATCACTCTTTATTAGGCAGTCAAGCTTGGTACACTGTTTTAAAAAAACATTTGAAAACATATCTTTTTAATGTAGCTGTTAGTTAAATTAGTTTTTAATTTTTTTGTATTGATCTTTCTATTTTATTTATACTTTATTGTTTTTATTTTTATTTGTATAGTTTTATTAACTTTCTTAATTTTTTTATTTTTTAAAGCATAAATTGGCATTTATATTGCTTTTTTTTACAACTTAATGTACAGTATATCTTTAAATTGCAAGATTTTATTTTTATGCTTGGTTTGTAAAGCACCATGAGCTTCTATTTGTATGAAAATTGCTCTATAAATAAAGTTTATTATTATTTATTATTATAGTTATTATTACTTAACAAGTTTTAGTGTTGAATATTCTCCATATTTTAACATTTTATGTATAAAAAACTTTAACAACACAAAGAAAGCAAGGAAAAAAATTCCTGTTCGTAAAACTGCAAACTGAAAAAGGTGATCAATCAAAAGACATCTGCATTGCCTTGAACTTGTGCATGTTCAGCTGTTTACAATTTTTACATATTTTGTCTTAACTACTACTAGAAGTTTTTGCTACTGTACTAATTTAAATTGACTAACAATAATAGTAGCAATGAATAATGTTGCGTGATTTCCTAGACTTTAGTTACATACATAGTAATGGGAATGTAATTTGTAATCTGAAATTTTGCACATCAAACGTTTTTGAATGATTTGCCTTCGCAAACTGAGTGACGAATGTATACACAACATCAATTGGCAGGCTGTAGCTATGAAGAGAAAACTGAGTTATATGTGCTTTGAGATTAGCCTTCAGCATCACCTGTAAAGTCTGCTGAAAGGATTGATAACAGGGTGATGGAAAGTGAGAAGCAGCTTGCCTTGATTCATCATAAACTGAGTTTTAGTGTCAGTGATTTTGGCAAACAAAACACTGAATTATACTGTCGACAATAAATAACACTATGGCCTTAATATCAAAGATACTGAAGTGGCAAAGAATTCACTTCTACAACTACTGCTATTGCTCTTTGGCAACAGTTCCCTGTACAAATCAAACTGGTTTCAATTCACTCATACAAAGAAATATAACTTGCTCCACATCTTTTAGTCCACATAACATAATAACAAGATCCTTATTACCACGTTAAAAAATCTCCTTTTGGGATAGTTTAACTAGATGGTTTTAGCGAGATCAATGTTGGTACAGTTGCTGAGGTTGCTCCACAATTTGGAGGAGTTTGGAAGAGGTGTCTTAACAGGTGTTATCATGACATAATTCCCCCCCCCACTGCATTCATGCAAAAACACCCCCCTGCCAAACTAGACCTCCTACATCTTCAAACGGAGCCACTGAGATTTGACTGGAGGTGGAGAACCACAAGGAGCAAAATGTTTGTGAGTCCGATATAGTAACATCACTTAAGGGGCCTGAGGTTCAGACAAGATGCAAACCCTGGCCAAGAGATTCAATTTGCGAATGCAAACATGGACCCAACATGATGTTGGGGTAATAAAAGGAAAAGGTACTGGTAATCCCTACTTTCAAAAACACCCCCCAAATATCTCTATTAAGGAAATGGCAAAAACATTAACAAATGACATACTGTGCACAGAATGGAAGTCCATTTATCTCCCAAGTTTAGTGGAAATGCAATGTAACCATCACTGTCTAAACCATGAATCTGCTGTGTAATAAGGTTTGTCATAAATGGAAATATATTAATGAGCAGCAAATTGAACTGTTTTACTTGACCAAGTATCACAGAGTGACAAGAAATGCTCAAGTATGTAAAAATGCTGAAATTAGAATCTGTGAAAAAATTCTGAAGAACATTAATGGCTTCTGAGCAGATGAGTCAAACTGAGTTAAAAATTAAAAGCTGATATAAACAGAAGTGAAACATTTCAACTAACATCTGACATTTCTTATTTTGTCTACTTTTCTCATCTGAAAGAAGAAGTACAAAAGTAAAATGAATATGGAACTGGACTGCATCCCTGTACATCATATCGGTCCTCTTCTCCTGATAAACAGGCTGCAGACTGTTGTTGAACTGAATTTAAATGATTAAAATACACAGTATATGCTGCACCACTTTCACCAAGTCTCAGTTTTGTAATCTTCCAATCCACTAAAGATATGTATAGCTATAAATCTAAATAATATCCCTATTATGCACAAGGTACAAAAGAGAATTAAAATTTTGGTGACTATTGTGCTTGGATATCTGTCGATTAAAACAGCACATCTTCTACAATACATCACCCATAGCCTCCAACATGATATAATTGTGTACACTGTAATTTGACTTTGGATGTCTTCATTGACAAATGAAACTGTTTTACTACCAGGTTGTTACTTTCAGTGTACAAGAGAACATCGACACAGAAGAGCCAAAATTACTTAATTGCTTGATGTTGCCTTGGTAATAGAGATTCATTTGTGCATCAATGGATCTAATAAAAAAAAAAACTTAATGAAGCTGTATGAGGCAACCACAATGAATTTGTACAGTTCTGATTCATGATTACACTGCCTTCCCACAAGTTTTAGAACTACTAGATGGCATGGATGATGGTGCTGTCTGGAAAGAGAACTCAGGACGCAGACCTGCCACAGGCAAGGGGTTTGCAGGAAGTGACGGAAATCGGCAGAGGTTGGATAATCAGATGAAGAAATGTTGGTCAAAGCTAGTAGGAACTCTCCAGGCCCCTTGATATCCCAATGTTAGAAGACAAAGGTTGTTGCATGCTGTGGTCATCCAATGGGAACAGTATGGACACATCAGGCTGTGAAGAGGAATGGGGAGAATGATCTTCAGCAATGTATCCTGGAGTTTAGCAGGAAGTGTGTGGTTCTTTGTCAGAACTCTCCAAGGCAGTGTGGAGCAGCATCAGGACAATGCACTCCTCAACCCCACGTGACATTAGGCAAGGATACTTATGGGTTAAGGAGATGCAAAACATGCCTCCTGCCCCCTTGTACTGTGTTCTGTCAACAGCATGAGCATGACTTCCATCCAGTCCAGGAGTGTTCACTGCAATATCTGCAAGTCCCTATGAAATATCAAGAATGCTTCATAACGGTGTGGGGTTGAGGTCAGGCATAGGGTCACTCACAACAGGTGGTCTGTGAAGATCTGTGAATTCTGTTTGGTCCACTCTGCTTTCAATCAGGCTTTCTGGAGCAGGTCTTCCACCTATTTATGACAGCAGTCCAGAATGGATGCTGCTTCCACAGTTGAGGCTGCCGCATGTTAGGTTTTCTTGCAGGACTTGACTTGTGACACAAAGGAGAAGGCACAATGAAACACGAACTTAGGAGTGCAGACTCCTCTGGAATAACTTACTGTTAAGGCAAGGCGCATTGACAGGCAAATAGCATGTAAACAGACGCCAAGTCAGTGTGTTTTTCATTTGTATTTTAGATAATGACTTAGAGGGAACTGAGGAAAATTATCATCTGTGTTAGTTTCAGTATGATTTTGAATCAACAGCTTTGCCTTAAATTGTCAAATTCATTGATCAGTATTTTTGTTCCATGTTCACCCACGTCGCTTGTTTTAACATTTGCATGCACGATAAAGACAGCTGACGGATTCCCCAAATTCTCTATGAACACACCGCCTTTCTTCATTGGCCAGTTCCAAGATGCCCATCCGGAACTGCATGGGGCAATGGACTAAACTCAACTACACCTGATGCAAAAGGTTTTAAATCAGCCAAGGATGGTTCTCCTCACCTGCATTTCTGCACAGCAAAGCCTGCCTACAACACAATTCTCTTCCACGTTTGCAGAGGAGACAGCAGTGCACGTGTCTTTGGTGGATTGTTTTACACCCCCACATGGCTTTTGGTTGTTTGAAACACAACCTTTGAGTCCCCCAGATCACATTTCTCACTCACCTTAATGGCTTCCACAGAATCATATTTATCCAGCTTGTTGATGTGGTTTGTGATGCTGGTGTTGAGAGGCGCCGCTGAGATGGGGTGGACGACAGTAGCGTCGTGAGACTGCTGCTGGTACCTCTGGCAGTACGTGTACACCAGCAAAGTGATCAGACAGCCCAGTATCGAGCTACTCAGACCCACGGCAATCATGTGGAACAGGTTAAAATCTGCGGAGCGTGACACAAATTACTTATTGAACAGTTACACAGCTGTGTGGAAGTTCACTGGAAATATTGCTGAACTTTAAATTAATGAAGAACAGAGCGCCTGAGTAAATTCAATTCTGAGCAAAGATCCATTTAAACTAAATATACATTGTGACATATAAAATACAGTTTTGCTGTAGGTTTCCTACCATTTGAAGTACAAAACTACACATTGTACTTAGGCTAACATATCTTTAATCATATCAGCAAAAATGGATAACAGCATGGATCAGCCACTTGAAAGTACAGTAGGTGATGAAGACCTTTATCAACCAGAAACTAGATCCTCAATTACTTTACACCCCAGTAAAGGAAACAAGTGTCGCTGTATAAAATCTTACCTCCACAGCGTCTCTCTTCTCGGCTTGATCGCGCTATAGAGATTTCTGGGAAAAATAATAAAATTAATTGTCCTCATTATACTGATTAATGAGATCTTTAACAGCATTGAGTTCTACAGCCAAATGTAACCTTAAATGAAACATATTATCATAAAATTCAAATGGTTAATGATTAAATCAGTACCTGTAGTGCTTTATCATAACTATAAAGTCTCATTAAAATGGATAAGGTAGATTTTCCTAGGTGCTATAAGTTTTTATATAAAATTACAGATTGAATAGTGATACTTGCTGTACAGTATTATCAGGTCTGTGAGGTATAATCAGGATGATCTGTTTTTTTAATAAAGTGTAGTCAACAACTAAATTTGTAATGTTTGATATTTTTTCAATGTCTTAAGAGCTCATAAGTAGAGCATTATTTTAACGTTCATAGCTGAAGAATGAAAACTATTCCACCTTCTGCCCATGACTGTAATACAATAATTTCTCTTTTAAAGTTCAATTTCCCACAAAAACCTGGGGGCCCATAAGTTTTCCTAAGCACATAAACTGTAACAAAACCACCGCACAGGGAGATAAAATTTCACTAGACATAAATCGGTTTAACTGCACCCGCAGCTTCGCAGAACTTAAGAATCAGACAATTGTTAAGTTCCAAGGGGGGGTGGGGGGTAAGATTGTGAAAAACTACACATACATAATTATTCATAAGATTCATAATAATATAAATAAATAATTACAATTATTTTGAAGTATAACAGAGCAAACGCATGGTTCTTTTGCGCTAGAGAAAATGGTATTATTATTATTGCCTTGTATCGTGGAATAAGCAAATATTGGCATTATTCAGTCGTGTAGTACACAGGCTGATTGTTCATGATCCAAACCACAATTCCTAAAGAAAAGCAGAAAAACAATTTCTAGCAAACCGCGGGATGAGCTTTTTCGGTGGGTGACTGAGAAATGCGACTGTGCAGCTCTGCCAAACAAGACGGGGGGGTGAATCAGATCTCGTTCGAGAATCCTGGAGTCAAAGTGTCGCGGCACGTCTCTTGTTCCTCTGCAGGCCGGGGGCAGTGCATGCAGCCTGGCTCACGGCTACAGAAAGTCACTGTACACACCTGGTATGAGGTTGGAGTCGGACAGGCAAGCCCTGGCCTCGGTGTTGTTACCCCAACACTGCTTTCCAGTCGGGAAGAGCACATCGCAGCGACGGACGCGGAGCTGCGTTCCGGAAGAGTCGCAGTCGGACCACCGGGACCACTCGGACCAGCTCTCTGAGGGGAAGGGGGGCGTGGGGGTGTGCAGACAGACGGTCAGTCAGCTCTCAGAAAGTCTGTTCCACCCAAGCGCAAGGAGGAGAGGGGGATGTGACGTACCCTCTGTTTGTAAAAACACCTGCTCTCTCGTTTGTTCAAATCCTTCCACAATTAGTGGTTATCTAGTCAGCAGCGCTTTCTTATTAAAAACAAACCCTAACACCCTCACTATAACGGGTCTGATTCTGCAATGCGAAAACCTATTGTTTTTTCCACTTCCCCGTATTTTAATCAGAATCCGATCTTCAGTTGTGATTTATTTTGGAGCCGCTTTAACTAAGACCTCTGTAACCATTGTAAACCTAGTTTAAGGTGCTTTAGAGCAATACTGCACATTTCTTTTCTTATCTCGTTAAGCCTGCAGTGTTATCTGTTTCAATGAATGGTAGCAGAACGGTGTACTTGCAATACAAATGTTTGCTTTAAAACGTTCAACAAAGGGGAGTTCAGGAGGGATGATGACAACCAAGTCACTTTCACTCCAGCTGTTCTAAATCATAATTCCTGATATTATTTCCCATCATTCTGGTATACAGGTGCATCAGAAGGAAACCTCCCTCTTTTCTCGTGTGTTTTACATATCCCTCCTCCACTCCATCTCCACCCTTGGTCGACTTCTGACTCTTCACTGGAGTTCGAGCCTCCCCGTCCTGTGACCAGAGTGCTGGCCCTTGGCCAGGCAGGTAGACCTAATCTCACTATGCCTACTGTACATACTCCATACACCTCCCCAGTGCACCCAATTCTTGGAATTCCTCATTCCTCCTGAATGGGCTTCCTGTAGATGGAAGAGTAAAAATGAAGATACAGAAAGAGTGGTGTGTGTGGAGGGGGCTGAGCTGCAATCCAGCACAGTCTGGGTTTGCGTACCTGGGCAGGGCTGGGTGTTGCAGAGGGCCTCCTCCGTGTGCAGCCCCAGGCAGATGTCCCCCCCAAAGGCTGGGGGGGGGCTGGTGCAGGTGCGAGTGCGCATGTAGTGCCCCCCCCCGCAGGTGACTGAGCACTTGGACCAGGGCGACCAGCAGGACCAGCTCCCATCCACTGCAGAGGAAGACCGAGAGGTCAGTGGCTCCTGACAAGGTGCTGCTGCTGCTGCAACAGCTACTAATAGTCAGAACAAAAGTCGTGGGCCTATACAGCACAGAGGACTGCACCGACCACCACTGAGCAGAACCTCCTGGGTTGGCATGTGGCCACATGTTGTTCAGCCACTTCCAGCACAGAAATCCTGACTAATAATAACTTTCTGCAGGGTGAGAAGGGACGAGGAGCAGATTGAGCTGTGATCAGGACTGAATCGAAACCCCAGTCCATGGGCTACTTGTTCAGGACTTTATGGTGGGAATTTACTGGTAGGACTGAAGGACAGAAGGACAGAGGCCTGTAGTTGATAAGCACCTGCCTTCAAGCACTGGGAGTGCAGTTTGCAACCTGGCGGGGGACTTGCAGGTTTGAGTGGGTGAGTACAGGAGCACTGCTGACGTATATCACCCAGTAGCAGGAAGCAAAGAAAATATGGCCCCACACACAGATCATATGAAGGGGGGCCTTTAAAACTACAGGGATATGAGGAGCATTAGCGTTCATCTACGATCAGGGTTTATTTTTTCCCTTGATACTGTGGCTTGTTTACTTCCCTTGGCTCTTTCATCATTGCTGCAAAGTTACTAAGCAACAGGGGGTTGCAGTAATTGCTGAGAGAAGAAGGGGGGTTCTGGTTTTTACATCTGACTGCTTTCAGGTCCGTTTCTTGCCGACACACACTGGCCCCCAATATTTTGGATTATTAAAGGTAAACAAATCATCAGGATTGTTGTTTTAAGTAACATAGATGGTGCAGCGTGCAAGAGACATGGGACACTGATGCTTTTAATGCCACCTGGGGAGCACATGGGCCAAACACTTTCAGTGAGCGAGGAACATCAGGAGGGACCCTCTGGCACGAAAGCGCAGAGAGGGGCTCTCAAGTGCGTCGTCCACAGTTTTTGCTCTTGCAGTCCTCGCAGCCTGGGATGACACTAGCGTACTGTGACTGGGATTACCCCAGTGCAGAAGCACCACTGGCCTCCCGGGGGAGCTGCAGAGTGTGTGAGAGCTGGGAATGAGCCAGAGACAGGCGCACCGCTCCTCCGGCTAATGCTGGGTGTCCTGTAGGCCACCACGTCGAGGGGTGCGCGGCTCAGTGGTGGGCGGCCCAGAGGGGTGTGTACGCCGCCACTGCTGACCCGGAAGGAACGGGGTGAATAAGAATTGGCAACGGCCTGAACAGGGAGCAGTGGTTGCTGTTAATTTATTTACTGTTTGCATTTTCATGGGAAATGTAAATGCTGTACTGTATGTGACTGTATGGTTTTTTGCAACACCTTTTTGGACCATGTACTGTAGCTAGTACCACCCACATGTACTTGTAACACCTGAATCTGGATTGCTAATTACTCATTTATTCAGCTGATGCATTTATCCAAAGTGACTTACACAGCTGGGAGTTTTACATGAGCAATCCTGGTAAAGTGCTTTGCTCAAGTGTACAACAGCACTGTCATAATTACACAGTCTTCCTAATAAAAGCCAAGTCTATTTCTCCTCGCCAACAACATTCCGATTATTGATTTGAACCCACAACTGTCAAGTTAAAAGTACAGAACCTTAACCACTGCTCCACACTGCTGCCCAGGCAGTGCAGCATTACAACATTAAGGCCACTCTTAATCCTGCTTGGTGACGTGAATGTGGCACAGTCTTCAAGCAAAGTTAACAATTTCTCCAAAAGTTGCCGTACAATGACACAGCTTTGAATTATCGCAAATCCATTTGCTGCATTAAATACAATACTAGAGCGAAGGCCGGCAGTGGATACAGACTTGTAAGCAGTCCAGTCCACACTGGACGAATCAAGAGGGAAAGGGAATCGATGCCACTGACGAGCAAACAAAGCCTGCGCAGCCTACAATTTAACAAGAGCTAGAAGTTAAAATCGTATTATCCAATTTCTATTTGACTGTTTCTGTTCCTGACCTTTCATAAAGATTTTTTTTAATTCAATTTCAGGAAAACAACAGTTCGAACATTTATGAAGAAAAACAGGGGCTCAAAGGAAATGTTCACAAGGGACAGGAGAAACCAGCTGACCACACTCTCATGGTTTTTATGTCAGCGGGGTATCAGGGGTATCTAAGTTACACCAAACCTTGTGAAACCGCCTTCCTGGCTACAGTTAGACCCACAAGCTGCAGACTCTTGAGTCTGTAGCATGGGAACTGAAAGCAACGGACAAGGGCTCAGAGGTTCATCCCTAAGGGCTCTAACACAGAGCTCCTAGAACACAGCAGCAGGAGAACATCGTCGGCAGGCGTGGGAGCCTCCACCTGCTTTCACTCATGCTTCAGTGCTAAACCGATCTGCTGATCTGTTAAGTTTTAAAAGGAAGAGAAAGAATTGTTTCCGAGTGCATCCTGAACAGGAATGCCCTCAAGTTAGAGCAGTCTTCAATTCCCTATAAAGTGACGTGATTTGAGACAAGAGAAGAAAGTCATCCTAGCCCTGGTAATGACTGTTAAAACAGCGAGAACAGACGGTCGGTGGGAGGGCAAAGCCGTCTCCTGTGACGCCCTGTTGGAGCTCAGAGTGGAGTGGAGCCTGAGATACAGCAGACAGGAAATCCCAGGGAGTGAGCACTCCTCCCTCAGATCCTGAAACCTTTGCACTCAACTCTTAAGCAACACACACAGGCATCAGAGTGGGATTATTGCAGATTAAATGCTTACTGTCAATGAATGTGAAATGCAGAATGGTTGCTGTCTGGCATAAGACAAAGCATGATTTTTTATAGCCTCATCAAGATAATATGAACGATAGTATCCTCTCACCTCACAAAAGAAAACAGAAAGTAGCTTAAAATAAACTGTTTTTCTTACACTGATTTTTCTAGGAGGACCCTAACCCTAACTCACTGAGAGAGCCCAACAGCAACTATTTGCTTTTTATTTGTCTTGAGTAATTTCAATAAGACCTAAAGTATCTATATTATAAAAAATCTTTAACAGTGTAAAGACAATGTTCAGAAAATGAAAAAGTCGTAAACAAAAGTTCAGATGCAGGTCAAACCCTAAAATTTTAAATTGGGGTTTGGCTGAACATGTGAAAAAAAATTTGTTAAGGAAAACATTTCCCTCAAGAAATATGGATATTCTTAAAAACGTAAAGGTTTTTAAGAATTTTCCACAGAAAATATGTCAACTAGGAAATAAAACCCACTTTTTTGGTTTACTGTTCAAATCAACTTCAGGTCTTATTTTAAGAAAACTAAAGTTAGATGTTCTTTTTTTTTTGTATTGTTTATCGAATCTCATCAAAATTAGGGAATCTATTACCCATCTCAGAGTTTAAAATAAAAAAGGTGGCTTTTCCAAATCGTTCCTTTTATGAGAGGTAAAATCATCATTTACAAAAGCCTTTCTTGTTTATCGTGTCACCTTTGTCAGAACAATGGTATTTAGCAATTAAGAGCTAATTTGTGGACATAATCTGGGACTATATTTAGGAAGCTTTTCCATTTCATAACAATGCTAACAACAACATGTATCTCCCTAGCTTTTCCGCAAGTTCTACTACAAAGTAAGGCGCTGAGATTCTCTCACCTGGGCAGGGAGTGATGTTGCACTCCTGGTACTCCAGAGAAGGCCCCAGGCAGGGCATGCCGCCATATCTGGGCTCAGGGCTGTTGCACACGCGTTTCCGACTGCGAATCCCGCGGCTGCAGTCGCGGCTGCACTGGGACCATGGGGTCCACGAGGACCAGCCTCCGTTGACAGTGTGGGCTGTGAACCGCCCGGAGCGCAGCAGGTCTCCTGGAGAGGCACAGCATGGAGAAAATGTGAAATTCATTTTCCAGCAGCAACTCTCTGTACAAAGCAAGAAAAAGCAACACCAGCCTGAAGTCACACTGTCTGTCTGAGCACTTACATTTGCCATCAACATGGTTTTTGGCCACTCATTTAAGGCTTTTGTCACTCAGCATCATTCATTTGTGTATGAATGTGGTGGTTTCATCTTAATGTTAACCCTAATCCAGCCCTTCACTTTGACAATCCGAATCCCTGCTGGGCAGTTACCCTGGTGCCCTGGCCAAATTTCCCCCTGGCCTTTACCAGTCATGGCCTCCTAATAATCCCCCTCTCTGGACTGGCTTCATCACCCTGCTTTCCTCCCCACTGAGAGCTGGTGTGAGCGGAGAGTACTGGAGCATCATCCAGGTGGGTGCTGCACACTGGGGGTGGTGGAGGCGATCCCCAATACCTGTAAAGCACTTTGAGTGGAGTGTCCAGAAAAGCGCTTTGTAAGTGTAAGGAAGAATTTCTATTTTTTGGGGCAGGTAGGGGCAGTGCAGACTTCACCACAGTGGCTCATCCTCTGTCGTCTACCCTGGGCCCATGACAGGTATTTCACTATCTGCACACAGCTCTGCAGCGGCCTGAGACTATGGTCTCCATCTCATGACTGTAACTGCCCACCACAGCCTTTCACTTCTTCATGAAACTCTTCAATCTTAATATTGCTGCACGAAAAGATCCATATGCTGTTTAACTTTAGCTGTTCAGATTCCCATTTCCATTACCTGAAACTTACACATTCACTTGTATAAAGAACATATCAGCACAATAAAGATAAAGATTAAACTACCAAAGATTCGCTAAACATCTGTTGTTTGTTTCCAGTCTGTAATTGTTTGTTACAACCTTTGTCGCTCAGTGAAAGCAGGAATTTAATAGGATGGAAGCAGTGCTATGGTGTGCATCGTCCAGAAAATTAAAAGCATCTGGGCTCCATACAGCATTCCTCTAACACAACCCTGGATGGATGGCAGAAAACTCCCAATAGGTCTTGAATACATCACAGCAATCTTGAGAGCAGTTATTAATCCCATTAACATATACTGTATAATAGATATAATAACAAATAAAGAATCAAAAGTATGCCATGTCTAAAACCGTTTAACTGGAAAGATGGCTATTTTGTGAAGCTACATTCCTTTTCACTTTAACAGATTTATTTTGAAAGTAACTAAAGCAGGAGTGCGCTGGGAGCAGCTCTGGGACCCACTCTGAATGCAGTTGATGGGGTTTAAAGATCAATACCTCTCCTGAAAAAGGAGAAATTCAAGAGGCAGTCTGAGATTTCACTGTATATAACAGTTCAATATGAACCTGGTGCCCCCGGGGAAATCAGTAATACGATCTTACCTTCATCGGTAATGCTGTTTAAAATGCACTGCTCTATTCTGCTGGACAGTGCCTCATATAATCACATGTAAGCAAGACAATGAATAAGGGTTCGCAGTACTCCAGGGGGTTCCCTGTTCTCTAAGGAAGAAATCGGCACCACATTCTTCAATCTGCTGTATCCTTTTAATATCAAGAATGGGTCTATAGCTTCAATTAGCCTGAATGGCATTCAGGGCATCCCTACAGAATATCGGGGATCCTCAGATAAGAATCAGTGGAAACCCCAGTTAGACTCCAGGAGTCGGATACAGCAGGTCAACGGCAGATGGAAAACAAACTAGATGTCAAGCACAAAACTAGTAAAAATGTGTTAATCTTTCCTTAATGAAGGTTGGGGAATAATTCATTTACAATCATCATTAAGAATAAGAAACTGTAACAGAGTGTCAGCAATGCTCTAGTGAAACTGAAAGCACTTTTAATGACTTGAGGCCAGATCCAAAACATGCATCAACAGCAGCTGTGATTAATCACATTAAGAGGCAGATACCCTCTGCTAACCTAATCACATATGAATTCAAGACTTTTGTTGAAGGGAATAAAACAAGTCATACTAATATAGTGGCAAGAGCTACAAAATTAATAAAACCACTTATCTGTGCGCGGCAAACCAAAACTGCATTTAAAGCCATGACTTCTGTCCAAACAATAATCTAAAATTATGTTTCAGACCTATTATTCCGCATCTACAAAAAGGCCTAAAACTGTTCTAATTTTAATTAAAAATGTTTTTAAAATGTTTTAAAGCTTAACGAGGCTATTGTGAGACTATCATGTTGGAACATCAGTAGGGCAGCAGAAGTCTTACAAAAAATACAACAGTTCTTGGTTCTTACTGCAAGACCCTGAGCAGTTTTCACCTGCTGCAGAGACTGACACCGTATCAGACACTACTCCTTTCGTGTGGCCATGCCAGAGTTCAGTCGCTTCACAATACTGGTTCATGAGCAGTCTGGAGGCCCCTTTTCATTGCCTCTCTCAATGACCTGCATGCGGCAGATTTATTTCGATATTGAGGGGTCCACCATCTTTTTCAACTGTTCGTTCTTTTCCATATATCAGAACGGCCTGTGGCCACTCCGTGACATTGGAACCCACCTTCTAGATTAAACAGAGTTTAATTTAGTAGCCAGTATAAAAAGTTCTCATGGCTTAATAAGGGAAAACGTTTTAAAACAGGGTACAAATTAGCAGAATTGAATTGACAAAATGTTTACAAACTGTGTGCCTTCATACCTATTAGAATCTACTATGATCTGTATCATTTCTCAAACCAGCTGTGTTAAACATTAAATAAGGCCTAAATAATTTTGGTTTAAATGAACTTTGGACCAGCCTGAACGTGGAGGGGTGACACAAGCAGGTTCATCTTAAACAGATTTTAGAGTACAATATCTTTGGCTTCTCTTTAAGCACTATGATGACTCTGCTGAATACATTTCCTCTGTTTGTTCATCTGTTTGTTACCAGCGTACAAAAGCTTTCGTGACCACTAACTACAGGGCTCAAGAGAATGTCTTTTACATGAAATATTACATCATTAATAGGCACATTCACACCCACCTTTGGTTGGGATTAAGTGTGTCCAGACCCATTACTCCCAGTGAAACCTTGTAAGTGTGTGTGTACCCAATGCAGAAGGTACTGTTGGGGTCATGAGAGAAATGATTGCGCAGCGGTTTAAAGTGCAGTGTGCTCAGTATTAACGAGTCTTACAGCTCACTTTCTCTCAGCTATATAGTTGAAGCCTGTACACTGGCTTCCTTTGAGAAACAGCTGTATGAGACCCATGGATCAATAAGCTACTAACTACCAAATAGACAGGATGGGCTGCATGGCCTCCTCTCGTTTGTAACCTTTTCCCACGGTCTTGTCATCTGTGATCCCCCGTGCAGTATAAAAGCTCAGAGCTGTAATGGCTGCTACTTATTGCTGAGCCTGACAGGAATAATTTTGTGGCGGCTTGCTGACATGCTCGATAGTGTCCGTCTATATGGAGAATGCTCCATAGAAATTGGGGGAAACAAAACCCCATTTTTGTAAAATGAAAAAGAAGCACGGATATACAGTAAACTTTAGTTCCATAAAATGTATATATACAGTAAATCTCTCTATATAATTAAAGATAAGAGAAATACTGTAGAGATCATCTAGGATCCTTCCTAATATCACAAGGGTTTTGGCCTAGTTGAATTTAAATGTGAAGTCCTCTGTGATAACATTTTTGGAACTTTACTCTGGTCTCAGGATATTTTAAAATTAAACTGTGCTCCGATATTTCTGCAGTATTCAGCCAACAATCTTACAATGGTTCTAATAATTGCAAACCCAATCTACACAACTCAAAATATCTGTGGTGTAAATTAACCATAATCAGACCACAGGGTCAAACCCTTTTGGAAATGACCCAGTTTCGAGGGAGAAGATGCAGAAACAAGACTCACTGACCACATCAGCATCAACCCGAATTCAAGCCTTTCAACACAGCAAGATGTCTCTATCCTCCAGCCTTCGCAGATTGACAGAGACTGCTGGGACCGGATGGGAGGGACAGCTGTGCTGAAGCAGGCCTGTGCTGAAGCAGCCCGCGCTGGGGCCAGGTCCAAGGGGAAGCTCACCGTCGGTGGAGCAGCCCGTCGAGCCATCGCTGGAGCAGTAGCGCATCTCGATCCGCTGGCGCCCCACTTCCAGCAGGCTGAGCTCGGGCACTCGTGCCTTGCAGGTGTACCTGAAGCGCTGCTCATAGTGGCCCCCATTGTCCGAAATGTTGACGGGTGCCCAAGGCGTCCAGGGCGTTGTTTTCTTCATCTCGGGGCAGGAGAGGGTGTTGCAGGACTGGTACTCCTAGGGACAGGTTGAAAAACACGCATCATAACTGTATTATTACCCCCACATGAAATCCAACATGTTTCGACTCGAATAACTTCAGTGATTTAGTGTCAAGCTCAGCACCGTCCCCGAGTTTCCTACCGCCGTTCTGCTGGCTCATGTGAAACGTCCCCATTACACTCTGTGCTGAACATGGCAAGAAGCAAACAACTCAAGCAGAAAAGGTCATTGATCAGGCTGAATTCATAACATGGAGTGGGCAAACTCACAAAATAAAAATGCTGCAGCTGTGCACAGCTGAAAATGGCATTTCAAATGGATTCTAATCAACACTCCTAACAACCAACAAACTGGTTTCTTAATGGCTTGATTTAGCTGGATCATTACATTTCAAGGCATTTGGGACTAAAACTGTTTACGCACTTCTTTTGTAGCCCACAGTTATCTTTATAGAATACATTCTGTATTCTTAACAGCATGAATTAAGAGTCATAATTTCTGTGATTTAGAAATAAACAGCTTCACTTTCACATTCCTATTAAAATCCTCTATTGTCTTTTTACACTATTTCTCCAGTGTTCCTGGTCTTGTCTCTTATACAGTATCTTCTTTTAGGCTCTAGCTCTTCATGTGTGGAATCCATACTTACTGCATCTACTTCCCCATCTAATCTTTTATTTGCATATAATAATAATAATAATAACAATTATAACAATAATAATAATAATACTTTATTTATATCCATACCAAGGATGCTGTACATTCTGATAAACGCTGACAAAAATGTACAATAAAAGGTAAAAGTGAAAATGAAACAAAACCGACAGGATAGAATGTAGGATAATTAGACACGGGCCCTTGTAAAAAGATAAGTTTTGAGTTTCGATTTGAAGACAGCAGCGACAGGAAAGTCACGATCCCCCAAAGTCTCGAATTTAGCCCTGTGTGCAATGAGCAAAGGACCTGCGTCAGCAAACCAGAACCTATGGGAGAGTCAGTTAGGAGGAGTTCAAAGATGCACAGCATGATGGAGCCAGATTGTTTAAAGCCTTAAAAGTCAGTAACAAGATTTTGTACTGAATATGTGACAACCAATGTAAACGCTTAAGTGTAGGAGTGATGTACTGCCAAGGTCTGGTATGAGTTAGAAGTTTGCTGCAGAGTTTTGGACATATTGCAACTTGCAGAGAAGAGAAGTTAGGAAATCCATAGAGTACACACTTTCAGGAATCAAACCTTGATGTTATAAATGAATGAATCAGACACTCAGCATCGGACATTGATAGAAATCGCCCAATGCAGGCAATATTTCTCAGATGAAAAAAGGTCAAATGTGACTCCAAGATTCTTGACTACAAGTGACGCACGAATGGTTAAGCCATCCACCATTACTGTGAAGCTGTCCAGCTTGTCCAGCTGACACTTGCTTCCGACTAGTAAAATTTCTGTTTTGTTGCTACTGAACATCAGGGAGTTTGATGTCAGACAGAGCTTGAGGCCACAGAAAAAAGAGATACATTAAGTGACGGAGGTGGGAGATCAGAGGGGGAAGAAGTTTTACTGTAAATCTGAGTATCATCGGTATAAAAGTCAACCTGAACCATGTTTGCATATAATATGACTGAGAGGAAGCATATCAGTAATAAAAAGTAAAGGGCCTAAGACTGAACCCTGCAGCACACCGTGATTGACTGGGGCCAATGGGGGGTTGACGAGGACCAAGAGAAACAAAATGCTTGTCAGCCAGATAAGAGCAAAACCAGTTAAATACCCTACAACTGATAGACAAGAATGTTTACAGGTGATCGAGCAACACTGAATGATTTACTGTATCAAAAGACGCACTAAGATCAAGGAGCATAAGGATACTTACAGTCTCCGAGTCAGATGCAATAAGTAAATCATTCACAACCCTAACAAGAGCAGGTTCAGTGATATGATTGTAGCGAAATCTGAACTGGAGGGGTTCAAACAGATCATGGCAATGTGAGCCTGGAATTGATGTTCAACATGGCCTGAAACCTTAGATAAGAATGGAAAATAAGAGAATGGGGAAAAATAGTGAGCCATAACCCACTACAGCCTGCCTTCACAAGCAGTGGAACACATGCTTGGACATGGGAGACAGTATGGAAGGTACACTGTCAACTTCAGTGGGAAGAGAAGCTATTTCCCCCCATTTATTTATTTTGTGCAGCGTTTGAGTGACTGCCAGACCTTGAAGAAGTAGGATAAAAGAGCTCTTTGTTCATTGTTCAGCTTGTCACGGGAAAAGGATTCAAACGTTCAGGCTCTGCTCCCTAAAGCTAAAGTAACCGGTTAGAAAGACCAAGGATACAAGATGCCGAAGGATGCACCATGAAGGATTTATATTGTGTTTTTAGGACGAACAATTTATTTCACTGAGAAACACCTGTTGTTACTGTGTTACTTTGTAATTATCTAATTTCAGTCATATTTTATGACTGGAAATTTCACGACAGATGTGTTAAAAAAACCCTGCTGCTCTACAGTAATGGTTCAAACACCACACAGACAAAGACAAAGTGGCAAATTCGATTTTATTATTTCTGAAGGAAAGAAATCTGGTGTTTAAATGTTTAAAATATGCAAAAAAAAACCACTGTGATTACACTAACTGCACCTACTGTAACATTTTTAGCAGAACTAGGTATCCTTAATGGTATCATATCATAACAGTTATTACTATTGAAAGGCAAAAACAACCAAAACTCCCAAGAAGACTAACATCTGGCAGAGCAACCAGATACACCCTGGGGCTTTAGAGCAAGTCCTACACTTGCAGACTGAAGGAACGGAGCCCTTCAGTTTTGAACAGGGAAGACAATGAGGGGACCTGATTCGAGTATTTGAAATCCTCAAAGGCCCTGCCAAAGTAAACCAAACGAACAGTGAAATGGAAACCAGGGGACACAAGTGGAACTGCGTGGAAATTTAAAGGCGGAACAGGGGGAACTTCTCCACAACCAGATAAATGGAAACCCGTCCTCTCGTCTGTAACCTTTCCTCTGTTCTTCTGTCAACCCTGACTGCATTCCTGATTTAGTTTTCTATTTGTGAACGGTATTGAGATGGAAAAAATATTTTTTCTGACAGCGTGTTTTTGAAAAAATCCATCAGCTACACTCCTGCATGTTGTTAATCACTCTACTAATCACTTCTTACAATTACCCCCCCCCAGTGCAGCAGACAGCCCATTTAAATTGAGCACATTATAAGGCTAACTTTGAGTTGACGTGCACGCATACTGGTTAATTTTAGTCATATGCCAGCAGTGTTATGCCATAACATATATTAAAGTAATGTTATTTTTGCCTTTTCACAAAGCTGAATAATAAATACATCAGCATTTCTGAAAACTGATATCATCAGTAGAACACAATTTGGTATTGCACCAACCTTATCTAAGGCACAACCTGAATGTACTGGTAGAGGTTATAGTTTGGGAGTCTGAAATAGATCTTAAAACATTCACAGGACTGAGACGTGTCTTCAATGGAAGAGTGTGGGCCACACAGAAATTTTGTATTTTTGCCACACGTGCATACATGACTACTGAAACGAAGAGACTTGAAGCAGGTTCATGCTCATTAAAGAAAACATCATCAATCTAATCCTATTACTGCTATAAGTATTCACCAGAGGCTCTCCAATCTAAATCTGTGAATGTAACAGTTTCAGTACTACACAAGCTAATGCAGCCATATTAATAAAACAAAATACAATCCTAAAAAAATGTTACACCTCAGTAATTTTAGATTTAAGACTATTAAACTGAAACAACTCTGAGAAACGAACTTTTGAAAAACGCCAGAGGCATCGAGGTCAGCCCTGAGGACCAGAGGACACCAGTGAAAACTAGATTTATAGCAGCGGGAGGAGGAGGCACTTCGAACGCAGTGGGAGTCAGGAAGAAGGTACCCTCCCATGCAGCTGAAGCAACACCCTGGCGTCTTTGAATTAACTTCTCACTGGCAAAAGGTCCAAATGGACCACTTGGCCTTGTTCATAGCCTCTAATGTTCTTTAACTTTCCTATGTTTTGTAACAGATAAGTGATACCACTGGAGACACAAGGTCCATATTCTGAAAGTCCACAATATGCATTAAGGCCTGAATTAAAATCTAATACAATTCAGTTAAGTTGTAACGTGTTGCTATTCCAAACAGGGACTTATTATAATCACTGGCCTTAAAGGGTCATTCATCCCAAACCACCTCAATCCTTCTATACCTTTGTAAGATATTTATGGTGGCTAGACAGGAAAAGAAAGCAAGGACTAACTGAGACTAAGCAATTGATGGCATCCTGCTGTGTTTAAAAACCTCAATGTGACACACAAGCATCCTTCAGGGCACCTGCCCTCCAGCTGTTCCAGCTGCAGGCTGGACCAGTCTCTGGCCAGCTGACCACGTACAGATGCTATTTATTCTTCACCGCACATGCCAGCACCTTCGCTTACTCTTCTGTGGTTCTTTGTTGGGACGCCCTATGGGCTTAATACAGCTTGTGAAAATGTTATTCCTATATCTTTTTTTATTTCTGAGGTCTGCACAGGCACA